AAAGAGCATCTGATGTCTAAAGATTGATATTTTTGTAACTTAAGCTTACGAAAATTTATGTTGTGATATGGAGACATTGATAAGAACTATAATTGTTTGAGTTTTATGAGTGTGTGTTGGTGGGTTTAGGTTTACCTCTGATTGTAGGAAACATTGATTTAGAATGTTATCATGCTTATGAGAGAATGGACTAGTCCTGATAATTGTGTTAAAATCCTTGATCACATCTGGTAGACGTGTGTACGATCAACTTTGGTGGTTGTTAGCACTCTTTTTGTTGATTAGTTAAGCATATATATAACAATATTTATCACTCGAGTATTGATATGACTTTATTCAGGCATTTTAAGGGAGGATGTGTAGGTATTCAATTGATTGGTTTGAGGTTGGAGATATATAACTTGTAAGGGTAATGAGATTCTACAAGAAGGGCATGCAAGAAAAATATCCATTGTAATTCGATGTTTCAGATACTACTGTACCTTTATTTTAACCAGGTCTTTCCTAGTTTATCACTCGAGGACGAGCGATGGGTAAATTGGTATCTATTGTAACGATCTGATTCTGATGTTAGGGCCAGAAAACTCTTCCAGAGTAACTTGAAATTTCCCAACCTAATCCCGATTTGAAAGAAATCAGAGTCATTAAGGTGTAGGGAAAATATATAACTAATAAGAGATCTAATTGTGAATTTTATTTTATTAGTGGATAGCTAAGACGATAAAAAATCAGTAGCACTTAACGAAATTAAATTTGAACGAGTACAACTTCCAGAAATGATCTTAGAGTGAACGAGTACATTCTGCCTTCGTTGAGGCCGCTGCAGCGAAAAAATTCTGTTGTAGCGGGCCAGACGCGACTAAAAGTCGCTAATGGCTATGATCTTATTTGATATTTTTTAACTTTTAGGGCTAAAGAGGCGACCCTAGACGAGTTCTTGACATTTTTTTCACTATATTTGAGGCTAAAGGTAAAATTTTAACACCCCAAATCCATTTTTCGAGCCGTAAAACCTATTTTTTTGGGTTATTATCGATGGAAAAGAGTTTTTCTGTAATAATTATGGTGCGGAAAAACCCTAATTTGGGTATTAGGATCTTGGGTTGGTCTAGGGTTATTGGGTTTTTTTATTATCCGAATAGTTAGACCTTTAATTGTTCATCCTTGTGTATATTAATTGTTGTAGACCTAGAACAAGGGGAAATAATTCAGAAAGGGAAGATTCAAGTGTCTTAGGGGATAGAAGTTTGAATTTGAGGTAGGTGCTGATTGTGATTTTATGTTGGTGTGATATATGTTTTTAATTGCTTCATTATAGTGCATATGTGTATGACAATGTTGCATTATTGATCACCCTAATCGTAAATGAGGATAATCGAAAAATTGTATGCCGTGAATCACCTTTTGTGTATGATCTTGATGATATACTTGTGTTTGTGAGTGTGGTGTGTTGTGTGATTGGGGTTCAGATTGTCACGTTTCCGGCATGCTAACTTGAATCGGCTGCTACGTTTTAGCATAACTTGGGATCGGATTGCCACGTTTCGAAAAACTAATAATTTGCGCTTGGGTTCCATAAGAGGACAGTTTTACTTTTAAAAATATTATTTGGTGAAAATAGTGAAAAAAAAGACTAAGTTTCGAAAAACCAATTAATCTTATGATTTAAGAGAAATTAAATTTTCCAATTACGGAGTCTCCACTTGATTTTTGACAAAATCAAGAAAAAAAATTATAATTAATTTTCAAAAGATTTAAAATAGATAAAATCAATTGAAAAAGGTTCGAAGTTCAAATGTACATTTTGAGAAGGTGTTAGGCCCTCGAAATTCAAATGTCGTTCGCACGTGTTGTTGATTTGAGAGTTCATCTTTTTGGATGCTCTTGGCAAAGACTGAATAAACTTGTTAGTAGAAACTCCAATTTAAACTGAGAATTGCAATGTTTTACCATATCTGTCACTTCTTTTTTTAAAAAAATAATATTTTGACGTCAGCCTCCGTCGATTTTGACGTAGTAGATGATGAATTGATATGATGTGATATGATAATGATTTTCTCGATAATGTAATATTGAAGTTGGGAACCAAAATAAGTCACAAAAATATAAAAGTAACCAAAATAAGTCACTATTTTAGTAAGTAACTAAAATAAGCTTAGTGGAAGAAAAAGTTTCACCATATCCAATAATCTAAATGTTATCCGTTAGTGTCATAACATTTATTTTTAATATATAATGGAACTTTTTCTTATACTTTATAAAGTGCAACTTTTTATTCCATTTTATAAAGTGGAACTTTTTATTTTACTTTATAAAGTGGAACTTTTTATTACACTTTATAAAAAGAATATTATTCACGTCTTGAAGAAACTTTTTCAATGTTGTCATATAATTATATTGATTTTGATATATCTTTAAAACGGAAAAAAATATTTCATTATTTATTTTTATTTTTTTATTCTAAAAAATCTTTCAATCTTTATTTAAGGACGTTTATATATAGTTGATAGCACCTACAACATAAAGTCTTCTATATTTGTTCATTTCGATCTAAAAAAATGTCTTCTACACCAAAATTTAAAGTTTCATTTTATTAGGATGACGAAATTATACATGACGGAAATACACTTTTATTATAATTGTCCTCCCAAACACAATGCTAAATATCCAATTAATGTCCGATATCATAAATTTGTTTCATCAATTTATAAAAGAATGGGTATAAACGGTACGAATTATAATTTGATTATAGTCGAAAAATATCCTACTTCATTTTTATCACAATGGCAAGTAAATTTTGGAGAGTGAATTATCTATAATGACGAATCATTGACCGAATTTTTAAGGGTTCCAAATGACTATATAGATCAAATTAAGTTAACAATACTTGAAATTTATGTTAGGAAGGAGCCTAAGATTAGTCAACAACGTTCTCCTTTATCAGTCGATGTTCATCCCTAATTAGAAAATCGTAATAGCATTGATGGATTTTGGATAACTCAATCCAATGATTTTCCTAAAATGACACATTATCAAATATTCTTACCGGCTGATATGATTTTGATTTAAACGAAACTATCAATGAAAGTGATCCGTAATGCTCAATTATTATATTTCGATTATTGTTTGTTGATTTTGTCAATTATTTATTAATTTATATTATTTATTATTCTTATTATTATATATTTTATAGCAGTTTACCTCAGAAAGATAGGGATATTGCTCCAAGTTATGGACTAAATAATTATTTTGGTCAGTCCTCACACTTTGAAATGACGGAAAACGTTGGGACATCCTCAAATTTTCATGTCTCGCCTACTTTTGATGCAGATGATTATCACTATGTCTAACACTTGTTTTTTTTATTTGAGTAAGTTAATTCATGAGCCAAATATTTATATATTTTTTACATACATAGGGAAAATATTACACAAGATGTGATCCTGTGAATATCGATGATCTGACCTTTCTAATTACGGCCCACCTTCAGCTAGTGATAGTGGTGATTTGCCTAATGCTGAGGAATCAGGAGATAATGTTCCATTTGAGGCATCATCTAGTGATGATGATTTTTTGACTCCGAATTGATCGCCAAGACTAATGTCCATGAGTCCGTTTCGTAATCATGAAATTTCTTATTTTGATCATCTCTCGGATAGTCCAGATATTTTTGGTGATACACATGATGAGTATACATCACAACGTATGTGGCATGACCAGAAGATTTCATGAATGATGCTATTTATATTGAAAAAGACATGTTATTCAATTCAAAGAAGCAGTTGCAAAGAGCAGTTAAACTTCTACATTTGAAGATAGCAAGGGAGTGCTTTGTTATTAAATCGACAAAGAGATCATGGCGACTTATTTGCCAGCGTGTAGAACAAAGATGTCGATTTAGATTGCCTTTTTTTATTGATAAACATACTAACATGAAGAAAGTTGGAAGATACATTAAAGAACATACATGTGATATGGGTACGTGGCTCGAAAGGCATTTCAACTTGGATGTTGAGATGGTTGCTAAGTCCTCCGTGTTGATATAGAAAGAACGCCAACGTATTATTTTATCCCTAGATGATTTTTATTAAATAAGAAAATATTTATTTTTTATTTGATAATTAATATTATTATTAAATTCAAGTTTTCCATCAAAGACTGTCAAACAGTTGTTCTTAAAGCATATGACATTTCAGTAAGTAAAAGACAAGCCTATTTTGGTTGCAAGCGGGCTTTTAAAAATGTTTATGGTACTTGGGAGGGTTCTTTTGCCGAGTTGTCGAGGTTCATGGAAGCTTTGAAACACTTCAATCCTGAAACAGTAGTCAATTGTATGTTGATAGTCAAGACATATATTGGTGCAGAAATAGTCAAACAATAACATCCACCATATGGGGAAATTATGGAAGATTTGTTGATATTTTTTCGAAAAAAAAATAATCAAAAAATGTTTCAACTTAAAGCTAGACAAAAAGATAAATTTTTTTGTACTTTATGACATAGATACTTTTATTTTGTCTTATATTTTATGCTATTCTGCCTCTTAATTTACATTATTTTATTTTCATATGATTTTGAAGTAGTGTTACTATTAAAAATTTTATAGCATGTGTAAACCTAAAGTTTTCTATCAATGAATTTAGATTCCTTCCTAACCAAAACTAAATTAAGTCTAAGGTTGAAAGTAAATCAAACCAAAATCACATTCTAAAAAAGATAAAATTTCCCTACAAGTACAAGGCTGCAATCTTACCTAGTTTTGCACCTAATGCAACGAATATGAGTTGTATGTTGTCGGGTTGTGCTACTCCAAAATTTTGATTTGTTTATTGTGGGGCCTCTTCAAACTGTCAGATTGGGACCATCTTCAAAGTGAATTTTTTTTGGGAGCCATGAAAAGGAAAGGGAGAGAAAGTGAAGGTGAAGGTGAAAAGGTAACTTTTTATAAAGTGGAATAAAAAAGTTCCACTTCATAAAGTGGAAGAAAAATTTCCGTTATATATTAAAATTAAACCTTATGACACTAACAGAAAACGTTTAGAAATTGGTTATAGTGGAACTTTTTTTTTTCCACTAAGCTTATTTTAGTTACTTACTAAAATAGTGGCCTATTTTGGTTACTTTTATATTTTTGTGGCTTATTTTGATTCCCAACTCATAATATTGTTGACGACATCATTTCATTAATAGGTTAATGCTACTACATTGATAGGATGAATTTTGATCCAATGGAAGGCTGATGTTGTTGAAACTTGATTGGTAAGATGATGTTGATCTTTTGGCATTGGAAGAAGCAATGACATTCTTGGTGTTTGAAGATGCAATGACCTTCTTAGCGGTTGAAGATGCAATGACCCTCTTGGTTTTGAATGCAATACCCTCTTGGAAAATGAAAGTGATGGCCTTCTCAGCGTTTAAAGATGCAATGATCCTCTTGGTAGCTTGAATGTGATGGCCCTCTCGGCATTTGAAGATGCAATGACCCTCTTGGCATTTGAAAACGATGTCCCTCTCGACATGTGAAGATGATTGCTTTCTCGGCGTTTGAAGATGATGACCCTCTCGGCGGTTTGAAGATGCAATGATCTTCTTGGCATTTGCATATATTATGGCTGTTTTACAAAAAAATATTTTGTAAAAGTAAAATGACTGAGTATCCAAAAATCAATTAATCTTATGATTCAAGAGAAATTAATTTTTCGATTTAACAGAGTCGCCATTTGATTTTGTAGTAAAATCAAGAAAACTTAAAATTATTTTCAAAAGATATGAAACAGATAAAAATTAGTTGAAAAGGGTTCAAAATTCAAATTTACATTCCGAAAAGGTGTTAGGCCCTTGATATGTCTGCTAACTCGCGGTTGACCGGCAATTTGACTCAAAATGACTTTGACCCTTAAAATAACTTTTAAATTTTTTTAACTAAGTTAAATAAATTCAAACTTTTTACTTACTCATTTATTATTATATTTTTCTAATATTAATTATCTTAAAGAGGAAATTAAACTAAAGAGTTATTCTAAAGAAAACAATTTAAACATTTGACAAAACTAATAAATAGAATAAAGACTAAGCAAAATCTATATGTATAAGTATCTGTATATTATTAAATATGTAAAAATAAAGAGAAATGACTATCGTTTGAGAATTAATTAAATTGGAATAAAAATGTTAAACAATAACAATACATAAATAATGAGGGAAGATGAGAGTAATATTTGAACTTGGGCCAATTTGCCCAAATTCCACGAAATTGGGCTTTCAGCCCACTTGTCTTATACTAAAATGCCCACAAAATGAACTTAGGCCCAAGTTTGCTGGACCTGTAGAAATCCTTGGGCTTTTGGCTCCTCTTTTCCTTTATTTTTCATGATATACAACTAAGTGTATATTTGACGTATACATCATGTATACGGTTAATTTTTGAACCCCTGGGTATGCAATTCATGAAGACTTTATATTTTCTGTTTTTTTTACTCTGCAGTAGAAACGTTTTGACCTGTATAATGTATATTCCAATTGTATATCAGTGTATACATCCAGTATATCGACCTGTTCTTCAACTTTTTGGGGCCTTAAAAATTGACTTTCAATGAGCAAATGCTGCTTTTCGACCTGTTTGTCAGTTTTCCAGGGGATGGGTGACTCGATAATAAAGGATTGAGCCTTCGTGGCTCAATCAAGAGGTCACAAGAAAAGAAAATAGTGTCCAAATGGAGTCGAGTGGAGTTCACATGCAACAAAGCAAAAGAGCGAATTCAAATTTCAATGAACGAATGCATTTAAAGAATTATAATACTAACTCAAGCAATAAAATAGACCGAGACAAGAAGGAAAAAGAAGAAAACTAAAATAATAAAAAATCATAATATTAAGGTCTTGGCTGATTTCATGTAAACATGAAACAAATAAATAAGTGAACATGTAATCGACATGCAAAGTGAAGGAAGTAACCCAAGGAAACACTTAAACGATCATACAAGTTGAGAACATCCACAAAAGGTAGTCAAGATGGAACAAAAAAGACAAGAGCACTTATTGCAGCAAACTGTATGTACGAACAATGAATGAAAGAAAAACCGATCAACATAATTTTATATGCTTGAAAAATTTCTAAGGAACTAGTTGGAAACAAACATGGGTAATTTAACAGAGAACTTACAACGGCAACATATAGGGCAATTGTAAACACCAGAAGGTAAAAACAGTATCCTTGCAGTGACACCAAACCATGACGAAAATTAAATCGAACGAATATTGTATTAACTTGATAGCATTTCGATGTCGGTTAATAACAACAAGTGACACATGAGTTTCCTATTTTATAACATTTCAAAAGCACGTGATGTCAATATTAACAATAACACAGATTCAAAAGAAGAAACACAACAATATAACACTTAAACGGGCCTCCAAAACTGGAGTCCAACTCAGGAAAACAAACAAAATATAAACTTCATGTTAAAATAACATCATCCTACTGGTAACTCAGAGATGAACAAATACAAGACAGAGGTTTCCTAACATTGAAAGCAGGAATTGAAGAAAAGACGAGAAGGATGTTACCTTTCGTAGTGCAGCAAACTTCATGCTTTCTTTATATCTTATGCCAATGGTTAGATGAACAAGAAACGAGTTATATATAGCCAGAAAATTAGGGTTGAGAACTTTGGGGAAACCGGATCCAACTCGGGTTCAAAGCCCATCTTGAAATAAAAAAAATTAGAGAAACACCCCTTTTCCAGATTTTGTTCCATTCTTGAAGAGGAAAAGGGAAGTCGACGGCTCGGATTCATCTTCCGTCCTTGGAGCTTGACGTGGAACAATCTCCCAACTCTAAGAACAGTCTCGCGTGCCCTGCAAATGCAAAACGAAAGGGACAGGAGGAAACGGATAAACAGGGCAGTGTACTATCGCCTGCCATCGTCTTGCTACATTTGGGTCTCTTCTTGTCGTGAGTGAGGAAGGGTACAATAAAAGATGGGTCGGGTCAAAAGGGTGGAGGCTGGATAATTAGGTGAAAAGTGTTTGGGCTGGGGTGGCTGACTTGGGATGGTGAGGGAATGGACTACTGAAAATTTGAATAAAATGGGCTGAATTTTAAGGAAAGTGGGCTTATTATTGGAGAATTAAGCCCAAAATTGAGTTACGTTGGAAATTAAAGATGGATTAAATTTAATAAATAGTCAAATTGAGTTAAGATAACAAATTCCGCTAAATCTTAAATAAAATAAATTAATATTAGTTAATCAACGAGCTTCCTAATTTTAGCAAAAAATAAAATAATTATTTTAATAGTAAAATAGTGATTCAAAATATAACCATAATTTAAATTAAACTAGTTTAATAGAATACTTACTAAAAATTAAAATATTTTGAGATGGTTTTTTGAATAATCATAAAATATACTAATTATATACATCATTATGGAATATATATATATATATATATAAAAAAAAAATCTAAAAATTATAAGAAAATGGCAAAAGTATTCAAAATAACGCAAAATTTATATTTTTTCGCAAAATTTGTAAAACTTATTATTTTAAATTGTTTGAAAAATTTAAGAAGCTCGAGAACTAATTTATATCGAGGAGGGTCAAAATTGAGTGTCCACAATGGCTCTCTTGGCATTTGAAGATGCAATGGTCGTCTCGACATTTGAATACAACGATCCTCTCGGCATATGAATATGATGGCCCTCTCGGCATTTGAAGATGATGTCCCTCTCGATGGTTTGAAGATGAAATGAACCTCTTGACATTTGCATATATTATGGACCTCTGGGCATTTGAAGATGCAATGCCCCTCTCGGCGGCTTGAATCAGTGACCTTCTCGTCATTTGAAGATGCAATATCCCTCTAGGCGTTTGAATGAGATGACCCTCTCGACAAATGAAGGGGATGGCCCTCTCGGCATTTGAAGATGCAATGGACCTCTCGGTGTTTTAATGTAATGATCCACTTGGCATATGAAGATAATGGCCCTCTCAGCATTTCAAGATGAATGGTCCTACTGGTGGGTTGAATGCAATTGTCATCTCGACATCTTAAGATGATAACCCTCTCGGCGATTTAAAGATGCAATGACCCTCTGGATGGTTCACATCACTGTGTTCGACATAATTTATGAATATTCTTCAAACGTTCTTGATGCTAAAAATGTAATTTGATGTCATTCAAGATGCTTGTGCATGTTAAGAGCGGTGCTTTCGCTTGTTCCTATTTTGAACATTTTGAGTTTATTGTGACTCATGCTTAGTTGGAGATTCGGACAAGGTGTTGTCGCTCTTACTCTGAACTGCTTCTTCTTTTTCTTTTTTGAAGAACGTCAATGACATCTCTGCCTTCACAAAAACATTGTCATTTCGGGGAGCTACTCGCCCTTTTGAATTCTCCATATTCGTTGATTGGAGGAATATGATGATCTTGAGGAAATCTTATATACCTTCATCCACAGAAAAATTGTTAGTTCTTAAAGCAAACTGATTTGTGCTGACTTCTTCAATCGCTTTCTCTTTGTTTTGCTATCTTCGGTTGATCACTCCGATCTTATGGTTCTTGATAGACGTAAGATGATATTATATAAAACATTTGGCATATTAAAAAGTCTTTAAGAAACATTTTGAGAATCAATTTGGAAAAAGTCATTGTCAAATTTCATGTCATGCAGAACTCAAATGAACATCTTTGGTTAAGAACTTTTGGCGTGTCCGGTGACTTATTTCTGGTCAAAATTCAAAAGATCCTTGAACCTTGAGAAATTTTTGACCTTGTTCACCCGAAATCTGCCATAGTTGGAATATTTTGTAGTTGGCTCTGAAATTCAAGGGTTCTGGAAATTGCTGAAGTTGACTATGAACTTTAGCGATGTCATGTTTCATTTGAAGTTATCTTTTAACTTATGATCATGCTCGAAATGTTTAAAATAAATTACAAGCTTCTAGTGATGCTTGAAGAGATTTTTGAGGCTATCCTCAAAAATTTTATCCCAGTTAGATGCCTTGGAGTATCTTAAGTTGTCGATAGATATCTCATGGAATTTCGAGATCTTTTCAAAAATTCTATCCCAATTGCAATTCTCAAAGTGACTTTAGTCTTTATTTGTCGGAGATCTTCTTTTTGAAAATTTTTTAGTCTCTCTCAAATATTCTTTGTCCCTATTAGATGTGTCAGTGTATCTTTTACTGTTGATATATGACTTGTAGAATTTTGAGACCCCCTTAAAAATTCTGTCTCAGTTGCAACTTACAATGTATCTTAAGTCTTGAAATGTTAGAGATCTTCTAGAGAATTTTTGAGTCCCTCAAAAAAAATTTGTCTCGATTAGACGTCTCGACGTATCTTGAACTTTTGATATATGACTTGTAGAATTTTTGAGACCCTCTCAAAATTTTTGTCCTAGTTGCAACTTTTAATATAGCTTACGTATTGACTTATTAGAGAGATTAACTTCTTGGGAACTTTTTAGTCTCTCATTGAGAATTTTTTAGTCCCTCTCAAAAAGTCTTTCATGGTTTCTATTGTAAAGAAAAATAGAAATCTCATGGGAGATATGATCGAGCCTTTATGGTGCCTACATATCTCGTTGAGGCAGGAATCAGGTCAAACATAGTTCCCCTTTTCATGGTTATAAAAAAAATAGGAAATTTTATAAGGAAATGACCGAGGGCAACATAGGCCGCCTACATACCTCATTCTTGAGAATTCAGGTAAAACATACTTCAAATGCCAAAATAAAAATATAGAACATGGAAAAGGGGTGACCCAGGCCGACACAGACTGCCTACGTATCTCATTCTTGAGAATTCAGGTCAGACGTAGTTCTTTACGAATAATAATTTTCTAACCATAAAAACATAAGATAGTTACATGCAAATGACGCGATTACAAGGAAAGAAAATAAAGAAAATCTAAATCTTCAAATCTTATAACCCTTGATAGCATCTGAGTAGATTCGCCACTTGAGATGAACGTCTATGCTCAACCCTGATATGTCATCAAACAAATGTATTGATGTATTGCCTAAGTAAGTTGTTGAGTTCTATTTTCCGAGCTTGTGTCAGATAGACATTGATTCTAGTCTCTCTACCATTCTTTTATGTGTCATTCATATTTGACTTATCATGATTTTCGAGTTGTTTCAATTCTTTGGCGATGTATTCAGATATCACAATCTTCTTATAATACTCTTAGAATACATGATCATCTATCTTATTTGTTCATTCAGCTTGTGACTTGACATGAAGTTGACAGTTTATAATTATTTTTAATAAAATAAACACAAAAGTTGTTAGATAGAAAAATTAAAGCAATTGGAATAAATTTTTGCAATAGAAGAGGCTTTCATTGAAAATAAGGAAGTACGAAATTCGGCCATGACCATGGTCATTTTGCCCTTTTCAAAATATTATGAAGAAAATTAAAAATGACATAGAAGGTGGGTCCCTAACCTCATTCATACTACCACCGAGTTTAGGAATTATATACAATTCGTCTTTGTCTATCAAGATGAGCAGGGAATCAAGAGCGGCGTGGAAGTCCAATTAAGAAGTTTCTCCATTGGCTCAGCGTCTCGTATGCTTTGATGTTTACATCAATTCTTCCAGCACAACATCCACCGCTTTGAGAAAATCCCTGGTTCCTTCTCTGAGACTCTCATCATTGGTATATCCTTTGCCAGAAAAGCCTGATAAAAATGAGGAAGAGGCTTTTGCGATACATGATTGACCTCCTTATGTTCTGATCATCTTTTTACAGTAAAGCAAACGCTTGATATGATGCCATGGTCAAAAATCTGTATTTTCCAATTATTCTTAGTGAATCTACAACTTTCTCAAAGATATAAAGGTTGGTTGGATTATGACTTTATCTACACACCAATTTTTTTGACCTTGATCATGTTAATGGTAAACTTTTCATGATTCGGCAGTGAATCTGTATTGGCATTGGGTATGACAGTTTGAAGAGTTACAACATTTTGATCAATCAAGTCTTGAATTTTATGCATCAAGTTGATGCAATCTTCAATAGCATGTCCGACACCTCTTGAATGATAAGCACAATGAAGATCAGCCATGTAATGTATGAAACTGACATTGAGATATTTTGGATCAATTGTGTGTATCAGAACGAAAGTCCGATTTTCAACCAAAGGACTAAAGACTCGAGGTGCTTTCTTCTCAACTTTTGGACGAGGAAGACTGTGGTTATTTCCGGGAGGTGGAGGTACTTGATGATAAAGCGGATGGTTTTGGCGAGTAGATGCCGGTGTTTGAAAATTTGGGTATTGTGTTGTTTGATTGATATGAGTAGCATTTGGGTACTTCAATAATATAGCTTTGTAACTCGATATAACATTTGGGTAATTTGGAAATGGAGTTTGATAATTTAGATAATTTTTGTGGAAGAGCTGGTAATTTGGTGATGGAGCTTGGTAATTTCGATGATTTGATGGTGGAGCTTGGTAATTTGGTGATGGCGCTTGCTAATTTCGATGATTTGGCGGTGGAGCTTGGTAATTTGATAGGATGGGGTAAGGATTTTGTGAAGCTAAGGGGTAGGTTTTGGATAGTAAATTTTTTTGAACATTATGACCGACATGCAGTGCCGGCTCTATGCCTTTGAGAATAAGGCTTTTGCCTTAGGCCCCAAAAATTTGGCCCCCCAAATTTTATCAAGAATGAATAAATTTTGTGTTAAAATTTTTATATAAAAAAATAATTATTAATGATAAAAAAGTATAATTTTTTTAAAATATGTATTATTTTAACCACTTTAACTTTTTTTGTACTTTGTTAAAAATAAGAATTAAAAGTGAAAAGTGTTGAACAAAGTGAGTTACAAATTCTTTTTTATTTCTTTTTAAATTTTTGTTTCAAGCATTACTACAAGAATATTAAAATGGGATATACCAAGTCATCAACTTCTTTCGTCAAATTATATGTGGTTCTAACTCTTATCTTTTTTTATATTTATCAATTTA